TCTCTCTCTCTCTCTCTGTGCCGTGTCGCTTCGTCACCGTTTCTATTTAAGTCATGCAAAAGTTGTAACAAAAAAGAAGGAGCATTTTGCAGCGCAGAGGTGATAAAAAGACCGATTTCTTTCCCCGCTGCCGTGCACGCAAAAGCTTTCATTACGCGCCTGTATTAACGTCGACATTTGGATTTATGGCTCAGCAGCTTCAGAGCATTCAGCAAAGGCATGATGATTGTTGTAGGAAGTGTCAGGCGTTTTTTTTTCTCCCCCCTCCTCAAGCCGGGCTATTCAAACCTGCAAATCAAAGTAAACAATCGTTCGTACGCTTAATGCAAATATGCCACATCCCGACGCATCGCACGAAGCGTTTGACTGCATCCGGAGAATCGTCTCTTTATAATATTCGGATCTGCAGAATATGGCGTCCAGTGCTTATAAAAATAAGACAGGGCTGCCATTTTTGTTTTCCTTTTGTCTGAAATTTTTTAATAAACTGTCTGAGAATGTGGGAGAGGCGGCGAACAGACCGAGGGCGCTGCGGAGGATCGTTTCTATCTCTGGAGGAGGAGATGCTCTTATTTAAAACCTGCTCGGGTTCACATTGAAACATCTTTTAAACGTTTCTGTTTCTTTTGGGTTTTTTTTTTTAAACGGAGGAATAATACAGCACAGCAGGTAGAAAAAAAAGGGGGGGGGGGAGTTAACCCTAACTTTTGCTTCAGGGATGGACTTTGTATTTCTTTCTACAGGTGATGTAACAGTGATGATCTGATCTCTGTTTTATTACACTGAAGCTGCTTTTTGAAGCTCAACTGTTGGGATTTAAAAATAGTTTTCTAGTCTGCAAAAGACGTGCTATACCTGCACATCATTGTGGTAACACTTGACCCTGACCAATGGCCATCCGTAGGATTATTATAGCAGATCAGAGAGCATAGATATAGATTCCTCTTATGTAATAATAATAACAGCATGTAGCCTATGTCTTTATAACTTAAGTACTGCTTTCTTTTATCCTTTATAAGGGTATATAAGTTGTAACAAATGGCTTAATTAAGGAACTAATGATTTAGTAATGATTTATAGATCCGTAATAAGCTTATGGTTGCCAGGTTGTGTAAACTCTCTCTGACTGGTATTAGTTACACATGTTGGCAATCTATTAAAAGTCCAGTTAAAAAGTTATAAAGTCTCCAGTTATAAATGATAATAAGTCATTGATAAAGGGGTTTTTCAGTCCATCAGGTCTGCAGTTGTTTGTAGTCTGTTTTAAAGAGATTATTCACAACCTGACAACCCAAAATCTGTTTAAAGGGATCTATAAAACATCACTAAATGTTTAACAGCCTTTAATAAAGCCCTTAGTTAATTATTACTTATCGAAGGTTTTGTAAAAGTAAAAAAAAAAAAAAGGGGGGGGGGGGGGGCTCATATCAGCTCCTCAGCCATCCTTATGGAAAATCAATGAGCATGCTGAGTATGTGAATGGGAAACAGACTTTTGG